CGCGAGTGCCACCATCCAGTGAATTCCAGTGGTTAGTTACGATTACTAATTCAATGTTATGCTTATTACCGCTTGTTATGCGCCATAATACCGCCAAGGTCGGATCGCCATTGAAAATCATGGCGACCAATCATTTTCAATCATTTTCCTTTGCAAAAAGGTTTCAAATTCAACTAGTTTGGTATCCTTTGGCGATATCTCCGTTGGTCTCTGAACTGTTATTAGAGATTGATGATAAATTATTACTTCGTTTTTTTTTTATGTGACAGGAGGCAAACGAGCAGACGGATCACCTGATGGTAAGTGATTACCGTCGACCATAGACACCTCGTATCCGTCCGGAAACACCGCAGACGACAGTCCATTCCACAGTTTGGTTGTACGGGGCCGGATTTCGTTCGGTCGTTCGTTCGTTTCAGCCGAAAGACGTCCACTGCTGGACAAAGGCCTCCCCCAAGGATTTCCACAAAGACCGGTCCTGCGCCGCTTGCATCCAGGTACCTCCCGCGACCTTCACCAGATCGTCTGTCCACCTAATGGGAGGCCTGCCCACGCTACGTCTTCCGGCTCGTGGTCGCCACTCAAGAACTTTCCTGCCCCAGCGGCCATCAGCTCTTCGAGCTATGTGCCCCGCCCACTGCCACTTGATTTTAGCGATTCTGGGGCAGGTTTACAATTATCAAATCAATTTAGACACCCCGCAGTCAGACTTTGAACTAAAATAGAGAGACACGGGTCTCAATGCGACATTATAAGTTACATTATGTACTCACGGCTTGACGTTTCGGCTGCTATACTGCAGCCGTGAAAGTGAACACCAAAGTTTAAAATCTTATACAGACTTTTAGTCGACCGATAGTTGGGTCGCAACTTGGGACGTCCACCCACAAGGTGGACCGACGACATCGTAAAGGTAGCGGGAAAGCGTTGGACGCAGGCCGATACCAACCGGGTAACATTGAAAGCATTGGGGGAGGCCTATGTTCAGCAGTGGACGTCCTACGGCTAGATGATGATGATGAATAGTTGGGTCGGCTTCTAGTTTGTATGAGAAATTGGCCGATAGTAAACTGGTGTAAAATGCGCACTTCCATACATGTTCATACTGATAACAGCCCGACCCAACTACAACTGGGTATATCGGCCGACTAAGGGTGGATTCGACCAAACAAGAGTAAATGTTAATCTCAGAATAAATCGTCAGTTTTGACATATTTCCCATACTGAAACTGTCAATGTGCCAATTATACCAGGAGTTATTCTCGGATAAAAGTTTCGTCGAATCGGGCTTAAAAGTCTTTAGTCTATAGAGTGTCATTATATTGTTCAAATTCAAATAAAAAACCTATAAATATAATACCAATAAATAATAGATGTATATAGCAACGCGTACATCGTGTTCACAATATAAAAGTTTTCATATCTTTGATATAATTTAATTTTTATGTTGCCATAAAGAAAAAGACGTGACTGGCTAATAACGCCTTTTATTTAAGTATCTGTGTTAAATTACGACTAAAACATTATGTAAAGTCACGATAATAGTTTATGAAAGCCTCTGATTCACGCAAAAACTACAGAATAGTATAATTGTAGAAGCTAGTCTTTCACATAAATTGATTTATACAATTATTGCTGTATGCAGGCCGCTACCAACCGGGCGATGTGGAAATCATTGGGGGAGGTCTAAGTTCAGCAGTGGACGTCCTGTGGCTGAAATGATGATGAATTGATACAAAGCAAATTGACATTGGATGACGAGACGAATGGAATATCGTACTATGAAAATGCACACTTGTAAGAATAAGTATTAATTTATTTATTTAAATACTTTATTGCACCCACATAAGAATGTTCCGTACAAAAATGTATGTATTAAAGACATAATGTTACTAGGTCGACTTTGTTTACTTTGTCGCTATAATCATTTCAACATGATTAAACGATCTTGTTGTTTGCCAAAGTTCTAAAGAAAAGAGTAGGTAATAAATCAAAATATGAAAGAGACAGAATAATTTCTTATTAAGGCCATTAAAATTTCAGAAAGTTACATGTCCATAATTGAGTTAATAGTCCGCCGTTACGAAGGGAATCTGTATTACTTAGGTACCTACCTACACTTTTGTCTGCTTCGTTCGCGTAGATATCGATTTGTACTACGGGACTGTTCCCACCTCTCGTTCCCACCTCTGCTACTCCTGTGTAGCCAGGATCTACAGCTTGACCGCCAATAACACAACAAGTGAAGGTCAAGCATGTCCCGGAAAGTTAAACTGTCATTGGACCCGCAAAGAAATTAATCAGAAGAACATAGGAGTAGTTCGAGATAAGGTTCGACTTCCCTCAAGAGCAAAGTGATAAAACAAAGGTTTCTATCGATTACTACTAGTCTACAGCCCATCTCTATTTTTAAAAACGTCTACTAAACTATATGAGGCCGTCATTAAATGCAGACAAACTGGTAAAACGTTCACCTGACATGAATCGATCAAGTAGCACCTGCTTCCAGTTCATAGAGGAATCGCTGTTCACCACAAACTATTCCATAATTCGTGCCACTTTTTTCTCTCATTCCAAGCAAATAATAGAGGTAGCTTATGGCCGCGACTTTGATTTCGCCGCGTGGATTTCGTTTTATCACAGATAGCCTTTCAAAAACCGATAAAAAACTAATATTTTTCTCTGAGTCTCAAATTATTCTACCTTTCATCTAAAACGGTTTAGCGGTTTAAGCGTGAAGGAACAGCCACAATTTCGCATTTCTAATATTAGTATGGAAATTATTATCCAACTTTTTCCTGGGAAACGAAAAGCCGTCCCTAAAAATAACTCCTCGATTAATTTTAACAATCCAATGGCGCTAAAGAAACAAAAGAACGTCCCCATTTAACCGGTGAACCGTAACTATCGCAAAAAACTCGGCAAAAACCAGTCCACGTCAAGTGCAAGCGACAACGACCTGACGGGCACCGCAAAACGAATTACCGTAGAGTGTAGAGCACTTACATCGCACATCTGATACGATGTAAGTACAGTCAGCGTCGAATAGTTCACGACACCCAAAGTGGCCGAAAAGTTCGCAACACGTCTTTGTTACAATTGGACAAAGATACTAATTTGCAAGCAAATAAATTATAGCATATTAATGCATCTAATTAATAGTAGTTCTTAAACTAAAAGGGTGAACATACAGAACATACTCAGGGGCGTAGTAGGCACCCTTGAGTAAGTACTTGTACCTACTCAATTTCACTTGCAAATATACTTTTAGTGTGTCAATGCCAAATTATTTTACATTTCCCCTACATGTGTATTCTCGCATAATAAGGTCGAGAGTAAAAAGTATAATTTATGTAGGTTCGATTTGATCTTGGCCTGGCATTGCATGGCACTATGTGAAATTGATCTTGTTTTCGCCTTTGTCAATGTAGGTAGTAGATTATAAATTCATGAACGACAGACTTAAAATAATCGCAATAGTGGTTTAAAATTAAAAGAAAGAAGAAGAAATGTTTATTCAGTATCATTTAAAATTGCATTTAAAAGTTTATAATCATGCAAGAAACTAAGATTGTATCAGATTACATATTTTCAGTGTTAAACTGAGCTTTTCGACAAAGGTCGTCTTTCAAACTTCACCCGTGCGAAACAGTGGCCAAAAGGTATAAATAAATAATTAATTAATTAATATTCATAACATTATATTAATTCCACGTATTCTGCACGTGAACATATTTTATGAATTCACAAACCATTTGCATCAATAAGGCTTTACGCAGGCGCCTCTGACAATAAATTCACACATACTTAATACGAGTATAATTGGAAATCGCAATAATATACCGTACAATGGGATGTTACTTCGGTTCAATTTACACTTACAATCATTAGCATTTGCTGCAAGTATTTGTTTAAAAAAAACAACAGCAGCATTGTGTGTTAAGTCATGAAATTATTCTGAAAATATTAGTCTTTCTTAGTATAGAAACGTTAATGAACTCTAAACGAAGCAATAAAGCATCGACGTTTGTGGCAAACATCAGTTATTTTATATCAATCCAGCTGATCAAAGAAAATCCAACATAATTCAATATTCGTGGACAAGTTACAGCAAGAAAAGATTCAGTCTGTCCCACATAGGGTTGCCAGGTCCAAAAACACAAAAGCCGGACTCTGTACTTTATTTGGCCGGACATTTTACCCTAAAAGCCGGACATGTCACGGGGGGGGAGTACTATCATCATCGGTTGTACAACATCCTGATGCCGTGAGCCTAACAAAAGCCGGACAGGCCGACCAAGACAATATTTGGCCGGAAAAAGCCGGACACCTGGCAACCCTAGTCCCACATAACCTGCCGCCCCCCGGCGGTAGGTATATGGACAGGCAATTTTCCTGGGTCAAAAAAGGGTACCCGAACACAGATTACCCAATACCTAGTTACTACCCGGATCGGTTAACTAAGTAAGCGTATGAGAGTTTGTTTCACGTTGCTTGACGTTAAACACAAACTTCGATCTGTATAAAAAACGTACAACTTTTATACGAAGGGATAATCAGTCGACTATAGCTATAAGTATCGACCTACCGATTCGAGGGTCGCCTACGATCCCCGTCGACCACTGGATTGTGGTAAACTCCCTTCTATTTACAAAACTCTTTAAAAGTAAATATTTAAGCCGCTTTCAGGACCAAATATAGCTTGCCTTACCGCTTTGGGACAACAAAGCAACATAACACAAATTACTATAGTCTGGTCCGTGAGCACGTAGAATTTTGTCCAATGACCCCAAGCTACCCATCCTTATTGCTCGCGCGTAATTATGTTGCTATCGCGCTCGCACACTCACTGAGGGTGCCAGTCGCACAGTCGCGACAGCAATATATGTAATTACGCGCGAGCGATAAGGATGGGTAGCTAGGGGTCATTGGACAAAATTCTACGTGCTCACGGACCGGGCTTTAGTACCTCTATCTTTTAAAATACTAGGTGGTCTTACCAAGCAGCAGCAGTATGAGCGGGTTCTGGAACTGCTCGATGTACTTCTTCCAGAGCGGGTCCTGCTCCTTCACCTGGAACTCGTTGGGGCCGACGAAGTTCATGCGGTCGTTCGCCTCGCGCCATGACAGCCCGCGGCGCACGTCCACATTCAGACGCTCGGCCACCTGGAAAAGGAAATCCAATTAATATGGCCACTCTTAATCCTGACGATTATAACCAGGACTGTTTGGGCCTAGGATTTGCGGGATTGGGAACTTTATTCCTCTGGGTAGCAATGGAAAACTAAATCAGACAAGCAGAATACACAAAATGGTATATAATGATCACTTTCGTTGGGCAGCAAATACCTAATGGATCGATGAACGATTTCCACAAGTCGATTCAATCGAATTTTCTTAGAGATCCGAGGGGATATTTTTTTTTAAATTACATGCTCAACATTTTAAAAATAACAGTCAAAAACCGATTCAAAATCAAAATAGAAATTAAACCTAATGTAATAATCCAAGGAAATAAAAATTGAATTGAATTTTTGGACCAATTTACTGATAGTAGATCAATTTTATTACAGTAACAATGTGTAGGGTAGCAATATACCTTTGGAGTAGTTGAGTCTATTGTTATCTCTCTCTACTCTCATCCCATGGGATTCTCAATTTGTAATCCCGCCTTGTGTGGGAGTTGTGGGACATAAAATAGCGTAAGATCTCGCTCCGAGATACTGGGATCGGAAGCCCTAATCGAGAGGTATTTTTAGATAATCGATAAGAGCCGTATCCGATTACGGTAATTACGGATAGTGTTGGTACAAAATATTTTAATTGGAGGCGTAATAATAGCTGCTAGGCTTTGGCACTGGGTTTGGCAAAGCCAACGAAAATGTTGATCAAACTGATTTTCAATTTATGCGACATTGTATTACGTATTTTTATGGTCTTTCCATGCCTACGCCTCCAAACCATTTTTGTATTTCGGTAGAGATCGACAAGGGATAAAAACCTTAGCTATTTTTGTCATAAAAAATAATCATACAGGTCAGTGAAGGCGCGAAAGAGGAGATATTCATTTTTCTTTATAAGTATTTTTAACCAAATTACAAGGTTTTTTTTTAATATGTGACGTTAAATATGCCCTTGATAGCAGACTCATCCGGGGCCAACTGATGCGATATAATTCAGAGAGCTTGCCCAGAATATAAGTATTCGTAGCTTACATAGTAAAGAAATTAGCATCCCTAGCATATCATGTAGTAAAGTCATGGTCCTTGCAATGAGAACTTTTTAGGCTGAGTTGCACCACCTTATTCTAACCATAACCGGCGTTTTTTGTGTGGATTTTGACAGATATTTAACGTTTGTTAAAGTTAAAGTAATGCTGCCTGTATAAATCTCTTTATACAAGCTCAGTCCTCAGTTCCTACTCTCACTTACGCAAACACGTGTTTAACACGCACAGAAGGCAATTAGAAATTAAACAGCCAATTAACGAAACGCCCATCCGAAGACTCATTTAATTAGCCATTCGGACAACGTGTCCTTACTGTTATTGAGGGTAAACGAGTAGTACAGACAGCACGAAAATTTATAATGTTAACTGTACACCCGTTCCGGGACCCGGGATTACGAGATTTACCCCGTTTCTAGCTCTGCCTCAGATTACCTGACATTTGTGGGTATTCTGTAACAAGCTTGAAACTTAATTAAACCAAAAAGTATACAAGTATAGTAAATACAGAGCACTTGTTGCTAAGTGAGTAAGGAAAGAAAGTAGCCCAAATTACGTCCCGGGACAGGCCTTATTTTAACTGTGGAATGGTTCAAGCCACTCTTCTCCACGATGGCCTAATGTGAATTGGTGGAGAATGTTATCATACCGCTTACAAACTTTAAAACTAATACCATATCTCGATGCTACATCATACAATATCAGCGCCTCCCCCAGATGGAGTAGAAGTAGACTTGCTATGGCTGAAATGGTGAAGGTCGGTAGAGTCTCCTGTCCACTACAACTTCAGACTCCTCTTATGTTCTTCTGATTAATTTCTTTGTGGGTCCCATGACAGTTTAACTTTCCTCCGCACCGGGACAAACTTGATCTTCACTGGTTGGGTTTTTATTGGCGGTCAAGCTGTAGATCCTGGCTACACAGGAGTTGCAGTGGTGGGAACGGGAAGTGGGAATAGTCCCGTACACATTTACTTATCACCTCTGAAACACTATTGTTAACCAAACAAAAAAATCAGCTTGCAGCAACTATCAATCACTAAGTTTTTTCTGATCAAAATACATCAGTAGAGTTTTAGTTAGGCATGTTTTCAATATACTGACCGAATATGACCTTGCTTTTTATCCACTTTGTTTATAAAACAAAAAAAAGTGCATACCGCACTTTACGGTTGGTTCTCGCAATAATTTAGTTTAAACTCTCAAACTAATGTTATATCCGCTAGACACGAATCAAGGTGAAGTAGAAGAAAGGGTCATAGTAGTACGAAACTAGTATCTAATAATATAAGTTTTTGTACATTATTGTATCAAGAATTCGAATGTAGAGTCAATTGTACAGCACTGAATATACGGGACTATTCCGACCTCTCGTTCCCACCGCTGCAACTCCTGTGTAGCCAGGATCTACAGCTTGAACTCCAATAAAATCCCAACCAGAAGGTCAAGTGTCAAGCAGTCAATTTGGTGAAAGAATGAAAATTCGCGCTTATTTATTTCTGAAAGTCCTGCTATCTCATTAAGACTACGGTGACGCCAATAGTCGCGCTTCTGACAAAATGTATACAGTTGTAGAAGGGGTATTCTATAGGGGTACCAGGTGAGATATCACCTTGATTGCGTAACCAACTTGTTGCCATCAACCTTCGATCAATGATACCAACTAGATATGGGGTCAGCGCAAAAATTACGTCCCGGGAAAGAGCCACACTTGAGAAGAACGTAACTATTTGGTATTTTGGTAGCTCATGACAAGATAGGATCCTTCCTTTATATCTATAAAAGCGAAAGGTCACTGATTGACTGACTCACTCATCACGAAATCTCAGAAACTACAAGTGCTAGGAGTATCAAATTTTGCATGGGTGTTCCTTTTAGAACGTAGGTGCTCACTAAGAACGGATTTTGTTACAATCGGAATAAGGTGGTAAAACGGGATCCACGCGTACTAAGTCGCGGGCGGCCGCTAGTATAACATAAAAAACATGCTCTGGATCGATCCTTTCCGATCTGGCTGAAGCTTATTCACTAATCGCTCGTATCCAAGCGTATTAATTACTAATTAATCTCTGAATCATGCTCAAGTTCGGACGATAAAATTCAAAGCACCGTGTCAGGTCATGAAGCGACGACATTACCAGGTCTATTAATTCCACAGACGACGGCACGTCAACCTTAACCTTCTGTAGTCGTAATAGGGTCGATTTTGTAAAAATGTATAGCCCGATGTGCTATCACCCGTACATTAACACGACTTCATTATGCTGATGGAGTGAGGCTTCAGTCTGACGAGGGTAGACAATTGAAGGCTGTAATACGATGAAGTACTTACCTACACCATTAAGCCACATATTTGAGAGCCTTGGAATTAAACTACCAACGACATTTTCAGGCATGAATTTTCAAACAAAAAAATGGCCTCCTTACGATAGCTTTACATTTAGTTAAATATTAAATGAAAAAGTTTAAAACATTTCTCTTTCAATTCCCTTTCTGAAAACACATTAATTAAAGACATTACAATCTATAGTCGTTTGTGTTTTTTCTTTCCTTTTTAGGGTTCCGTACCTCAAAAGGAAAAAACGGAACCCTTATAGGATCACTTTG